TGGCACTAGGCCTATTGGGATTGATCCCTTAGGGTCCTTTTTCCGCACAGGGTAAACTCTTTGCAATCACTACCTTGGTGTGTGTTTCATTGGGCGTGGCATGCCAGGTGCGTATCCAGCTTTCTGGGGCAACATTTATAAAAGAAAAATCCAGGACCTCGTCTATTTGGTGATTTAAGGACATAAGAAGAATCCCTATTAAATCTGGATAAACTAATCCCGCTTTCTTTTTTTTCTGCAAGATCTAATCTGAATCGGTCACCAAAGGTTTATTCTTCCACGCTTTCAGGTTCATGCTGGAGCCCATCATTGGAGAATTTCTCTTCATATTCTGGAAAGACCGAAGTTCCCTCATGATGGGCTCCAGAACAATTCCAAAAGCTTGGAAGAATAAACTTTTGGTCTGGATAACCAACTCAGATTGGATCCTGCAAGATTATCCTGAGACGTGTATATATTTACTTTGTGTTTTTTTTTTGTTTTTTTTTCTAACAGTGGTTATTTGCCTTCTCTTGAACTTCTCAACTTCACCTCTGGCATTTTACGGCTCTTGATCTCCATAACTTGATCTCCTCTACAGGTATTTCATAGCACTGTGACTCTGAGGGGGAAAAGTGATCCAGTGGAGAAAAAAAAAATTGGGGTGGTGGGTGGTGGAGTAGCTTCATGAGATTCCTTGGGAAACTTCCAAATGTAAAATCCTAAACCCGCTTTTTTAAGGGAGGCCAAATCGCCACTCGGTTCTCTGTGTTTTCCATTCTTCAAGCAAAATAGCTAGGGAGTGTATTATCTAAGGCACCAGAGCAGAAGGAATGAGGTGCGGCCCCTATTTAAATCGATCAGTAGGTACTCAAAGGTGCTTTTTCAGGAGGCAACTGGACTTTCTTGTTTTTTTTTTTCCTTTGAAGACATTTCGCTTCTCATCCTTCTTCAGCTCTGACAGGATAGTGGGGAATGGAAGGATTTATATTCTCTCTACCAGTGGTGCCTAACCTTTCTGGGCTCCTGTGGCAAAAATTGTGTGCGAGCGCTTGCGTCCCAGCACCTAGAAGGCAATGTGCACCCCCCCCTGGCCCCTGCACATGCGTGTGCAATCTCTCCCCCGCCACGCCCTTACCTGCACTGTACCTCCCAGCTGATTTTCAGCTCATTTGAGGCCTTTTTCGGCCTCCCAGAGGCTTGAGGAAAGCTTCTGCAGCCTTTGCAGGCCAAAAAAATGGGCCTGTTTGGTCACTTCCGGTATTTCCGGAAATACAGGAAGTGACAAAACGGGCCTATTTTTCAGCCTGCCAAGGCTTTCCTCAAGCCTCTGGGAGCCGAAAAGGCTTCAAACAGAGCGAAAATCAGCTGGAAGGTGCGCGCATGCGCAGTGAGGTAAGTTTGCCTGCAGCTTGTGTTGCCAGCACAAATGGTTCTGCGTGCCACCTGTGGCACACGTGCCAATAGGTTTGCCATAACGGCTCTATACAGACGTTTAGCTATACAATTTGGGATGAATACCCTTTGAATGGTGTGGGAGTAGGAATGGATTTCCTGAGGAAAAATTGCAGACTACAGGAACCATTTGCACCACTCAGGTGACCCTGAAGACACAGATAAACCTCCAAGTGCTTCAAGGACCCTCTAAAAGGATGCAAATTACCAGCTGTCTGCAAGGAGTATAAACGGGTGGGCTGCTACTGGTTTGTCCCGGTTCAGGCAAACCGGTAGCTAATTTTATCCTTTTTAATTACTGGTTTGGCGAAACGGTAAATCTGACCCCTGGCTGGCCACGCCTACTCCATCCCGTTTCCCAGGAGTCTCCACGTGGCCCATTTTGGATGCCAGGTAAGTACAGGGCCTGCACGGAGGCTTGGGGAGGGCAAAAAACAGGCCTCCCAGAGGCTCCGGAAGACTGGAAACGGGCCTGTTTCCAGCCTCCAGAGGGCCTCGAGCCCGGGGAGGCCGTTTTCGCCCTCCTGGAGGCTTGAGGAAAGCCTCCGGAGCCCAGGGAGGGCGAAAAATGGGCCTCCTGGAAGTCCCGGAAGGGCAGAAATGCATCTGTTTCCAGCCTCCAGAGGGCCTCCGGAAGCCGGGGAGGCCATTTTCAGCCTCCCAGACATTTGAGGAAAGCCTTGGGAGCCCAGGGAGGATGAAGACATCCCCCCTAACATGGTGCAGGAGGTGATTAAGCCACACTCACCATGGCCATGCCCACCCAGGAACCGGGCAGAGAACCGGTTGCTAAAATTTTTGCAGCCCACCCCTGAGTATAAATCCTTCCATTCCCCGCTATCTAGTCAGAGCTGAAGAAGCTTCTTGGATGAGAAGCGAAACGCCTTCAAAAGAAAAAACAGGAAAGTCCAGTTGCCTCCTGAAAAAGCACCGGCCCACTGCTTGGCACCCACTGCTCCAAAGTACCTGAAGACAGGACAAAATCCAATGGATGGAAACGAATCAAGGAAAGAAGCAATGTAGAAATAAGGAGAAATGTCCTGAAGTTAGAATCGCTCAGTGCAACGACTTGCCTTCAGAACTCGTGGGCGCTTCATCAGTGGAAGCTTTTAAGAAGAGATTGGACAGCCATTTGTCTGGAATGATATAGGGTTTTCTGCCTGTGCAGGGGGTTGGACTAGAAGATCTCTAAGGTCCCTCCCAACTCTGTTATTCTGTTACAGGGACATGGCAAAACAAAAATAGTTTGCTGGAACACATATTAGCTGCCAGCAAAAAAACAAAACAAAACACAGTTTTCAAACCCAAGATGGCTTGTTGAGTTAGGGATATTATCCTCACCAACGAACAAAACCTGGACATTTTAATATGTTCTATACATACTGATTAAGGATTCTCCAGCTTCATATTTAATTTTTCAGAAGATTCAGGGTTTCCTTTTAAAATAGTTTTTTTTAAGAAGATAATTAACAGATAATCAGAGTTGGAAGGGACCTTGGAGGTCATCTAGTCCAACCCCCCACCCAAGCAGGAGACCCTACACCATTTCTGACAAATGGCAGTCCAATCTCTTTTTGAAGGTCTCAAGTTATGACGTTCCCACAACTTCCAAGGGCAAAGCTGTTCCATTGGTTGATTGTTCTCAGAAAGTTTCTCCTTATTCCCAGGTTAAATCTCTCCTTGTTTAGTTTCCATCCATTATTCCTTGTCTGGCCTTCGGGTACTTTAGAAAATAGCTTGACCCCTTCCTCTCTGTGGCAGCCTCTCAGATATTGTAAGAATGGTCCTTCTCTTCACTAGACTAGCCATGCCCAGTTTCTGCAACCGTTCTTCATATGTTTTAGCCTCCAGTCCCCTAATCATCCTGATTGCTCTTCTCTGCACTTTTTCTAGAGTCTCAACATCTTTTTTATAATGTGGTGACCAAAACTGGATGTAGTACTCTAGGTGTGGCTGCTTTCAAGCAGTTTATAAATATTGTCTCTGTTAGTTTGTCCAATTTATTTGTGACCTGCTGTATAATGTTCCCCATAATTGACAAATATTGTGCATTATACTTCTTTCAATACAAATATTGTCAATATACGTTTAACACGTTTTGCGTACCCTTTCTTTTTCACTTTTGAAGATAGTGATAAAATGTATTCTCCCAACGAAGAATATTTGCAAGTTAGACCGCTGTAGAAGAGAAATTTAAAATGAGAACAGACAACAAGGAATAAGTAACCAAGAGTAATGCTTTTAAAATTCCTGCATGTTCCAATTCTAGCTCCATCCCTTTTTGGAGAAGAATGAATTTTTGAATTATTCCACATTCAATCTGTACTGGGATAAAAATGGAGATTTAACAGGTGATCTGAAAATCATTAGCTGGGTGGTTTTCCCAAGATAGGTCTCACCAAAACCGACCTGGGGAGTTTTGAAAGACAGAGATTTGTATCAGCTCCGCCCCACCCTTTCCCCTCCCCCACTTTCTTCTCCTCCTTCCCCTCCCCTCAGAGGCCCCCTGAGTCGGGAGTTGCTACTACCCGGCGCGGCTCCAGTCCCGCGTTGCCTCGGGAAGGGAAAGGCAAAAAAGGGAAGAGCCGCGGCGGCGCTGCTTTGCAAAGAGGACTGGCGAAGGCGAAGCGGTTTTGCAAACGATTCCTGGACGCCCGGATGTCAATAAACGTTTTGTTTTTGTTTTTTTGCCCGGGAAGCCCATTCTCACGAGTTTAAAAGGCTCGTGTAATAATACGCCCTTCTCTCTCCCCCCCACCCCCGCAACGGGGCGCGTTTCCACGACTCCTCGGGCCGCTCTCGCTCTTTCAAAAGTGTGAGGCGGGGAGTCAGTTGCAGGAAAAACCGAGCCAAGGAGCGGGGGACACAAGTCGCAACCGCAAGGCTAGTGGCGGGCGGAAGAAGACTATTATTCCTGTTATTCTCGCGCTGTGGGGATAGTGACTTGGGTGTTTGAGTGGGTGTTTTGTGGGTGTGTGTGTGGGCGCGCGCGTGCGCGCTGATGCCGGGCGAGAGCTGCCTTTGGGGTTACAGAGCCCGCCCGCCTCTCGCCGAACTACCCGCGCCGGACGCAAAAAAAAGTTCTCCGTGGGGAGGAAAGTGGACCCACGTCACGCCCCGGGTCTCTTCTCCCGCCCCCCCCAGCTGCCAGGTGGATCAGCCCGGAGGAGCCCTGCCGCCTTTAGCCCGCAGCTCGGAGGATCTCATGCAGGGGGGGGGGGCGAGGAAGAGCCCGAAAGCACCAGCTGAGGCTTCCGTGCAGGGAGGGGTCGCTGGAGAAGACCTGGGGGGGAGAGAGGAAAGAGAGAAATGGGGGTGGTGGTGTTAGTTGAGGTCAGGGCGGGGAGCTGATCGGGTGCTTAGCGGGTGCTTAGGCAACCCCTGCACCCCTGGCTACTTTTCAGATTTTATTTTATTTTTTTCAGAGGGGAATATCATGCCTGAAGTTCCCGTAACCGTTCTTCGTATGTTTTAGTCTCCAGTCCCCCTAATCCAGTTGGAGTGTGCAAAATATCTTTTAACCTTTTGGCATTTCATCCTAGATACTCGAGTGTGCTGCAAGATAATGTGAAAAAAAGAGCGGAGAAATGAAACTCCCTTATCTATGGAAAAGTGAGGATTTGCTGGTAAGATCTATGGTCGCCGTGTGTGAGTTTCCATCTTTCCCTCTTTGAATTTTTTACAACCTTTTTTTTTTTTAAACAAGTTTTATTAATTTTAAAAACAAACACGAATACATATAACATAAGACATAACATAAAGAAAATAAAAAATCATCTTTTCTGAAGGTTGCTCAATCCCGGGTCAAAACTCTTTATACAGACACAACTTCAAATTCATATTCATTTTATATATCATTCATATCTTATTACCATCTTCACTTTTATATATAGTTTCTTTTCTCTCTTAAATTCTCTTAATTTTATTTTATTCATCTCATCTCAGTTCAAATCATAATATTTATTATTCTTTGTCTGTTTATTTCCAGCTATCCATTTGCTTTCTTCCTTAAAATAAAATAAAAAAAAACTTCTCCTGTCCACTAATTGGAGTATAACGCCTTTACCTCTTTCCTCTACATTTATAATATTTAATATAAAACACCTAACTTACATTGGGATCCTGCTTGGTACATTCAAAAATTATACAATATTACCACTACCAGAACTAATCTATTCATTAATATTCATATTCTTTTATAACATAAAAAACTTAGCACATTGCTTTTCAATTAATTAACATACTTTTGTGGGAGGACCTACTTTCCAATTATTCTCCCCCCCATCACATATTTTAAATCATTATTTCATTAAGGTAATCCTCCTTCTCCTCCTCTCCCCAACATTCTTTTATACCTTAACCATTTTATTCATTCAATTTAATATCATATCTTTTTAATAATAGTCATATTTTCCACAGTTATTCCCCCCCCACATCATATCTCCAATCTTTATTTCGTAAAATGTTCCCCTTAACACCAATTTCACTAAGTTATATTAAATATTTTACCACATTTTAAATTACACTTTATTTCCAACCTTCTAAAAGTTATTTCTAAGTACAAATATAAAAAACAATCTTGTGTACCTTTAGAATCCCTTCATCAATAAGATTACCACAATTTTTTACAACCTTCTTGTTTGCAAGGCTACCCTTCGAAGTGCCTCTCGGTCCAAAATTTGCTAGCGGGTGGATAAAAAGCAAGTTGGAGATCCTTGCAAGAGCTGAGTTCAAAAGATGGGCTCTGGAGGTGCCAGGAGAGCTGCGTTGTCCGTAACTGCAAGCGGCTGGTCAAATCCGGGTGGTTTTTCCAAGATGCAGATAAAACATCAACATTGTGTGTTCTATCCAGTTTATGCCTCAGAACAGGCAATCGAATATTTAGGATGCAATAATGTTATAATTGAGTTGGTTTCCCTTAAATTGTACATCAAGCCTGCAGATTTGTTAGAAAGATGGGTCTTCATTTACAAAAATGTTTTTTGAATAATCACTGTAAGTCAGGGATTTACCCGGTATCAGTTGGCCTGATATATGAAGAGAAGGCCCTTGTCGGAGGGGGCTTCAGCATTTCAGAATCAAACCCAGAAAAGTTTTGGAACCTGTGAAGGTAGAAATCTAGCATCTGCCTACAACCATGTACAACAGGGGCACTCCAATTGATTCCGTGCCACCTTTGTTAGGACCAAAGGTGTATTATACACCTTTGTTTACATAGCTCTGTTGAGGTAATCTTTGGCTTATGACTGGTTGCTTAGCAACCATTTGAAATTACAGCAGAACCCGCCGCCTCTCTCCCCCCCCCCCCCCCCCAAAAACCAACCCCCCCGTAAACCCACCCCCACCCCCCCCCCCCCCCCCCCCCCCCCCCCCCCGAAAAGTTACTTACAACCCAGTTCCAAAGTTCTTATAGCTCCACAGCCTGGTCACGTGACCAGAACAGAATAACAGAGTTAGAAGGATCTTGTAGGTCATCTAGTCCAACTCCCCGCCCAAGCAGGAGACCCTACACCATTTCTGGCAGATGGCCGTCCAGTCTCTTCTTGAAAGCTTCCAATGATGAAGCTCCCGCAACTTCTGAAGGCATCTTCTCTTCCATCATCAGTTGATTGCTTTCACTGTCAGAAAATTCCTCCTTATTTCCAGGTTAAATCTCTCCTTGTTCAGTTTCCATCCATTATTCCTGGTCTGGCCTTCAGGTGCTTTGGAAAATAGGTTGACCCTTTTCTCAAATATTGGAAGACTGCTATCATGTTTTCCCCTGGTCCTTCTCTTCACTAGACTAGCAATATCCAGTTTCTGTAACCATCATAGGTTTTACTCTCCAGTCCCCTAATCATCCTGGTTGCTCTTCTCTGCATTCTTTCGAGAGTCTCAACATCTTTTTTATAGTGTAGTGACCAAAATTGGATGCAGTACTCTAGGTGTGGTCTTACTAAGGCTTTGTAGAGTGGTATTAGTACCTCACTTGATCTTGATTGTATTCCTCTGTTAATGCAACTTAGAATTGCATTAGCTTTTTTGGCGGTGGCTGCACACT